TAGAATCTTCATGAATCCGTGAACTTGATTTTAGGTTATGACGTTGCCAAAATTTTTAAAGGAAAGTTCGACTAGTAAGTATGTGCCACATCTTGTTATTTAAATGCTTAGATAAACCGCATTTTTTCAATGAATTGGTTGTGTAGCATAAGCCCAGCATGGTATAATGTTCATCGAAGGTATCGGTGGATCACGATTTTAATCGATTGCGTGTTACATATATGAATCCAAATTTTATATCTTCTCTCCTTGCATAGGTTCATGTATCGATACGATCTATTGGGCGGTCATGATGTCGATCAAAACTGGATCAAGGATGTTCGCGTCAAAGTGGACGGAAAAATTCGGGGTAAAATTGTACCACGCTTTCAACTTCACAATTGGAATCAATTTGATTATCAATACCTTATTCAAGACCCTAAAGAAGCGAGTTCTCTCACTGACACATTGGCAACCGAGTGCAGGTGTTTTTTAAATTATTGTCATGAATTTCCAAATGAAAAGAAGAAGATGGGTCGTCAACAATAATCGAGAACGCTGTTCTTTTTAGAAATCGGGGATTTGATGGAATGGTTCTCGAGGTGGGATATACGGCATTGCTTCGAGAATTTATAAAGAATTTAGGAAATAAATTGCATGAGCAGTCACAAGAACTTATTTTGGTATTGGCACCAAAGAGTTCGCTGACGGCAGCGCAGTATGAGGATTTCAGTCAATTTGTGGACCTATTCTCACTAATGACCTACGATTATTCACAACCAAGCGCGTGAGTTTTATTCAACCGAATTATTGGAATTGCCGATGCGTTTCATTTCTTCTAACATAAGATTCGTAGACCTGGCCCGAACGCACCCATAGAATGGGTGGAAGATAATATAGTAGCATTGACTCCGACGTCGATCAACCGTAACAAATTATTGTTGGGCTTAAATATGTATGGGACTGATTTTTTTAATGGACAGATGGAGCATGTGATTGGGAACGCCGTTATTCAGAAGCTAAAACAACATAATCCTATAATTGAGTGGGATAAAAAATTTGAAGAACATCATTTTCGATATCAAGAGAATGGAATATCTCACGACGTTTGGTATCCTTCTTTGAAGGTAAATTCGTTTTTTATGATCTTTTGATGAAATAGAATACAACGCTGAAATAAATATGACTGATATCTTTTGCACAATAGTCAATAAAATCAAGACTTGATTTGGCCGAAGATTATGGCACAGGGTTATCCATCTG